TAGATAGCAATAGAGCTAGAAAGGAGTTAGATAGCAGAGTTAATCTAACAGGAAAAGTATGATGTACAGTACAGGGGCAAGATACTACAATAGAGCGTCGTTTCTCCGAAAGAATTCCAGTTGGCAAATTTAAATTTTCGCTAGTGCTGTGGCGCTGCAATCTTTGGCTATGTCTTGGGCTACTCAAATATTTTACGTTTTTGATACTAAATTAACTTCTGAAGTATAATTTATTATTGTTTTTCTATTTTTCAATATATTTATTTTGTTTGTACAAAATAAAGAAATAATTTTTAACGATACAATAGCCACGATTATTATTTTGAAAAGTTTACGTTAGGCTTAACATCGACGAAAATTCAACGCAAAGTGACACGCAACGGAGAAAAATTTCAGGATGGGATAGGTTAATATATTTCTTCGTACATAATCGGTTATCCGAAAAATAAGTTATCCGAACAACCCCAGTCCCAATTGATTCGGATAAACGACGCTCTACTGTACTCATTTGAGGTGGATGGAGAACGTACGTTTTAAACGAGCAACTATTTATTGTAACATCGTCACATAGCCGGGCTGCAATTTTTAGTCATGTTTTTAATTTATATGCTTTCCACCTCAAATTAGTAGTGGCTTGCCTCTGTACATCATACTTTTGCTTTGTCAAGAGTCATGCCGGTAATCAATTAACTCCTTTCAGGTGAAAATTTTGAATTAAAATAACGTGACTTCCGGTTTGCGTTGGAAGTTCGTATATAGTTAATAGAACCTCCTGCCCCTAATGTTTCCATTCCACCCAACTTTCTTCTTGAGATTAAAAAAAGATAGATAGACAGACGGACAAACGGATGACAATGGGAATTTATAAGTTACAATTTTTTCAAATTGCAGACTAATTAAATGAATTGAAAATATGATTAAAAATCGCAGTCCAGCATTTTAAAGATGTCACAATAAATAAATACTCGTTTTCTTTTTATATATTTTTCATACAATACATCTTTATCATTCTGTTTTTCTTTTCTACATATTGATATATTATTACATATGTCTTTTATCATTATGACTTAACTTTTTGCGTTTTAATTTCAGCAACATTTTACCTTCTGTGTGTTTTATGTTTTGTTTAGATTTCGCTTTTGATACAAAACATCGAATTCGAAAATCATTATTCGGAAAAAGAATTAAATGAAATAACGATAATTTTAACATTGAATATACTATTCAGTTGATCGAATGGCATATTAGATGTTACAATTGCGACAATGTAATGTCGCGAGTGATCGAGCACGATATTTTATAGTTGATAAACAGTCCGCGCGCGACAAGATGACCTCTTTAGGTCTTTGAGCTAAATGAAGACATTATAATCGAGAAACTATCCACTTTTCATGAGGTCGTTAAGAATTTTTGCCTGTTTCGGTTTTAATTTAGAAAAAATTGAAATTTGTTGTTTGTTTTCTTATTTTAATAATGTAATAAGGATGTTTGATGATAAAGCTAGAAATAAATTTTATAAATTTAAAGTTGTTAAGCAACTAAAGGAGAAGCTTATTCTACTAGTTTAAGTGAAAGAACTATTATAAGGCAAGATCCGAATGAAAAAGGAAGGATACAATTAATGTAACACCAGATAGGAAAAGAAACAGACTTTTACCTAGAGATGTTTTATCGTCAATGAAATATCTTCTATTACTATTAAACTATTCTATCACCATTTTTTTATTATTATTAAAAAGAAATAAAACTGGCCTACAATGAATTCGAATTTTTATCATGCAGAAACATTAACAGAAACACGAATAAATTGTAATTTAAATATAACTAACTTTAAACTCACTTTTATCTTTTATAATGCAACTTCCTTGTAAAGAGCGGGATCTTTTAATTACTATAGCGCCTTCATACGACTTGAAGAACTAGAAAGGCCATATAGTCGGGTGTAGACAGTACCTTGAATTTCATTTATGTTTGCTGACCCCAATGCAATTCTCTTCATTCCTTAATAGGTAAAATTGAAGACGCGTATAGTGTGGTAGTGCCTTGAGTAAATCCAGATTCAAGATGTATTTTGATTTCATTTACAGATTTTATTTTAACTGCTACTAAATAATGGTAATGATTTATCGTTCATCTCTATGGCTTCTGTACAGTTTGAAAATACTCTAGATTCTACTGATGAATGAAAAATACTCTAGATTCTACTGTAACAATTATTAATGTTGTTCAAAAAAATTCGAAAAATTAATGTTCTATATATAATATACGGGATTTGAAGTATTATTATTTTTATAACAGTAACTTTTCAATTAGAATATCATTTAATGTTNTAAATAATTATAAATGTTTCAGAGGTACTGTACAGTACTTACCCCAGCCTATGACATAAAAAAGCACAAGACTTTCCTGCTCTGCAAATGCTGCTGCAATCAATCGATGTAAGTATAATCCTTCGCAGAACATCCACATGTAATTAGTCATTCGTAAATATTTAGTTATGATAAAGAGAAATTTGCATCCCGGCTGGAATCAAAATATGTCAATGAATAAAATAAAATTTGAAACAGTAAGTATGATAATTTTTAATAAAATTTACTCCATTTTGATCCAAAATTGTAGTTGTATTATCGAAATTATCGAGTTCATCAAGCATGACAATCGATTTAAAGAGAACGACAAAGATTCCATTTAAGAGTAGCGAAGCAAAGAGATTTTTATGCATGGTAATGCGATATACTTGCAGTTGTCTTTAAAACATTATAAATAGATTTAGTATAAAAATTTATTTAAAAATGTTAATAATAAATATTATTTTGATAAACATACTTATATATGATAAAAATGAATATAGCCGGTATTAAGAAAAATATTGATATACAGTATGTCGCTATGTGAAAATATTGAAGTCGTAGTATTCCCTAAATAAAAATATAATAAATATGTCAATTTCTGAATAAGTATTCTCAGAATTTACGCAATATCTACCTGAACTCTTCCACATTCGTTGTAATTAGTCCATTCAGTTTTATAAAAATTGCGTAAGTACCATTTCCCATTTGGCATACAAGTTTTGATAGCGTATCCTAAAAAATTACATACAGTTAATTTGCTAATTTAAATAAATTGCAAACACTATTAACTTTTACTTGGACACGATGGCGGCTCGCTAGAGAAGTATATATGCTCTTGACAAACAGATTTTGCAACTTGTCCCGAAGGAGTATCTGTCCAACATTGCCAACCATCCCATGTTCTCGGGCAATAAAGAGTTTCTTTAATTAAAGCGCACAAGTTATTTCATACATTAATTTATAAATTTAAATTCTTTACAATTGTAAGTTCCTCTTACCATTTACAGGAATGGGATCCTTCATCATTTTCTGACAGCATGCAACAGCGGCACGACAACATTCTATCCATTTTGAGACAAATACTTTATTTTTAAACGTATCAAATATGGGATGAGACGAATTCCCGGGATCTATTAAGTAACTTATATTTGACCTTGGATCTTTCAGTGAAAATATTATTTTGTAAACATATTATAATAGAAAAAAATTCTGTAAGTTACAATACTATCAAAATAGAAAGTAAACACAATAACAAAATTTCTTTCAATAGCTAACTAGAAACTGCCAAAATCAAATTCTTTCTTTTAATTTCTTTCTTCTTGGAAGCAATAAGTCAGTTTCAGTAGTTTACTAGAGAAAACAACTGAAAATCGTAAGCAAATAAAACACAAGATAAAGTATTAAATTAGTCTGCTTGACTCTACTTAATAAAGATTTTTCTAACATTGAAAGTTTTGTGAAGAAACATTTTAGCCTACTTAAATATACAATGAATATTCAGTCAACACGATTTCTATGTTGTAGGAAAGAAAAAGTTTCGAATATTGAATAAATACGGTGAATTTTTCATAAATTTCCACAACCAAGGTATTTCATAGAAATTCAAATTTACACGAGAATATTATTAATTTTTACCTTAATAAAATAAATAATAAGAGATTTATAATAAACGCCATTTAAAAGAGAACTAAAGAAACTTTTTCGGTTTATTGAACTTATTATAATAAAGAAGAATTATAACTCTCTTGTATTGTATTTTTAATGGAGGCATTTATTCTATTGCATTACTCTACCTTGTAATATAAACAAATAAAGCATTATAATGATATATTAATATAATTAACGTATTGAATATAAGACGAAATAATTAAAATATAACGATTTCATTTTTCTCTTTGTAAATTTAAATTCTTAGATTATATAGTAAAATGTTTTAATTATTATTATTATTTTATAAAACTTAATTTAAATTTTTATACAGTAGAGGATTTTAGATAAAACTATTTGCTGAATTTTATATTACATTCCACTCAGCAACATTGATTCTTCAGCATAATAAATAAAATAGTTGCCTGTTCGTATTCATTGCTTCTGATTCAACGTTTACTTTAGTAACATAGTCTATTAATTAAATCATATCTTAATATTTAAATTAAATGGAATGCAAATTTGCTAAGAAGGAAAAAATAAAGCATTAGCATAATTTTTTTCAAGAATGTAACTGTAAGTTCTTTCTATGAATGACGAAAATAATAAACAATAAAATAAATTACTTTTTATCTTTTTATTATCTGTAAAATATAGTCTGTATTTTTTTTTCTTTAGTTTTAAAAATTAATTCATATAATCGTAATTTAAAACAACATACAAGCTACAAACTTGAAGGAATTTTAAAATGAATATCTAAACAAACATAAAAAAACAATAAAAGTTGTTTTCACAAACTTGAACAAAGAAATACTTTAAAGGAAAATTAAAATAGTTTGAAAGACGAGAAGATATTCTTTAAAACGCCAAGTTTTAAATTAAAATAACACTCATAAAGTTATCTTTGGGTAAACGCATTCTACAGAGATAATTTACAATCTATTCACTGTAATTAATGAATAGATATTTAATTTAATAAAACTTAGTAATTAAAACTCTTACTGTTCGTTGGCAAACGTTTCTCTCAGGAAAGCATAAATGGCAACAGGTATGATAGGAAATACTGAAAAATTTAAGATTGAAAGTAAATAAATGTTTAAAAAAATAGAAGAAAATAGTTAAATAATTATAAATGTTTCAGAGGTACTGTACAGTACTTACCCCAGCCTATGACATAAAAAAGCACAAGACTTTCCTGCTCTGCAAATGCTGCTGCAATCAATCGATGTAAGTATAATCCTTCGCAGAACATCCACATGTAATTAGTCATTCGTAAATATTTAGTTATGATAAAGAGAAATTTGCATCCCGGCTGGAATCAAAATATGTCAATGAATAAAATAAAATTTGAAACAGTAAGTATGATAATTTTTAATAAAATTTACTCCATTTTGATCCAAAATTGTAGTTGTATTATCGAAATTATCGAGTTCATCAAGCATGACAATCGATTTAAAGAGAACGACAAAGATTCCATTTAAGAGTAGCGAAGCAAAGAGATTTTTATGCATGGTAATGCGATATACTTGCAGTTGTCTTTAAAACATTATAAATAGATTTAGTATAAAAATTTATTTAAAAATGTTAATAATAAATATTATTTTGATAAACATACTTATATATGATAAAAATGAATATAGCCGGTATTAAGAAAAATATTGATATACAGTATGTCGCTATGTGAAAATATTGAAGTCGTAGTATTCCCTAAATAAAAATATAATAAATATGTCAATTTCTGAATAAGTATTCTCAGAATTTACGCAATATCTACCTGAACTCTTCCACATTCGTTGTAATTAGTCCATTCAGTTTTATAAAAATTGCGTAAGTACCATTTCCCATTTGGCATACAAGTTTTGATAGCGTATCCTAAAAAATTACATACAGTTAATTTGCTAATTTAAATAAATTGCAAACACTATTAACTTTTACTTGGACACGATGGCGGCTCGCTAGAGAAGTATATATGCTCTTGACAAACAGATTTTGCAACTTGTCCCGAAGGAGTATCTGTCCAACATTGCCAACCATCCCATGTTCTCGGGCAATAAAGAGTTTCTTTAATTAAAGCGCACAAGTTATTTCATACATTAATTTATAAATTTAAATTCTTTACAATTGTAAGTTCCTCTTACCATTTACAGGAATGGGATCCTTCATCATTTTCTGACAGCATGCAACAGCGGCACGACAACATTCTATCCATTTTGAGACAAATACTTTATTTTTAAACGTATCAAATATGGGATGAGACGAATTCCCGGGATCTATTAAGTAACTTATATTTGACCTTGGATCTTTCAGTGCACCGGTGCGATAATTATAACTAAAAGAAATATAATTTAGATTTAGAAGTTAACTAAGTTAATCTTCATTTTATAGTTTTTATTTATTTTAATTAAATTACTGTTTACATAAATCTCCATTCAGTATCAACAAAGGCCCATGATGGAAGATAATTATAGCATCGAGCACACGTGTCTCTTCTGTAGATGTCAAATGGCAAAGAAACACCTCTTTCACTTCGACATAAAATCGATGTTAATGAGGCAGTCGACTCATTATAATCCTCTATATAACTTGTATAATTTTCTGATTGCTAGTTTTAAAAATAGTTTAATATCATTTATTTATTTTACTTCATATAAAAAGTAATTTATGTACTTTACTTACTTGGGTACTTAATACAGTTATCGTCAACAAAGCCGAAAATACCATTTTTGAAACGTCGTTAATCGATACTTTATAAGTAAATATTTCACTTATGAAGATGTAAATGAAATATATTTTTGTTCCTAAAATATAAAGCAATTTTTTAAGAACATATTTCCTCCAAAAACTTAATTCACCAACAAATAACTTTTATGCTATTTACAAAAGTAGAAATGATTTTTTCCAAATGGTAATTGGAAACGATCCAAAATTGCACCATAGGAGATCAGAAGGTTGTGACAAATTAATCAATATTACGTCATTCAAGAATAATCTTTACAAATATAGAGTTCGACATACAAAATTCTCACTGCAAAAATAGATTCTAATATCTGAAGCAAGGCCTATTTATTTAAAATAATTTTTTACTTAGGATACAATGATATCATTAATCATAACTTATATGATAGATCAATCAACACAATTAGAAAAATATATCGATCATTTCCAATTAAAAATTTGGCAATCTTTTAACCAGAAATAAGCAACATAATTTTAAAAACGATCTCAATTGCTTCTTAAGAAGGAAAATCAAAATTTGATAATGAAGTGATTAGTTACGTTAATTTTTAATTAAAACTTTTGTATTTTATATTTGGTAATTAATTTTTTAGTTCATCTTCCGCAGTCTTATTGATTTAAANCAAAAAATTTAGTTATATTTTTATAAAATAAATTTATAAATGGTTTTCTTTTCTTTGTAATGTCATATCAATTTCAGATAGTTATTTTCATTGTTATGAAGATTACGAACATACAGAGTAAATATCGTTATTTTTTATTTTTCTTTGTTTAAAGAAATTTTACCGAAACCTATTCAATACTTACACAATTTTTTAATAGAAAACAGACTCATATTATCAATAGTTGTGCTTGTCTATTATTAAATACCTTCATTTCCAAAAGTTGCCTAAAGCGATTAAAGTAACTTTAATTATTCCAACTGTCTACTCGTATAACAATATGGAGTTAGTTTACTTTCAAAAAGTGACTTTAATAATATCAAAATTGCAATAAGGCATCGAATGATGACAATTTATCAATCTAATCATTAAAGTTTCTCCACTTCTAATCCCTTTTGAAATTGCACAATAGCTTATAACGCGACGTATCTAATGGAACATCCACCAACAGCTGGATAGGAGCGCGTCGGAAAGTAAATCAAAAGGAGATAGAAAAAACGAATCAATGGAATTTCTCGTAAATTAAGTGCTATCGATTTTGATATAAATGTGTTAATGCTACATATACATATCGAGTATTAAAATATCTGTTTTATTAGAAACAATATAAGCCTGCAGCAATGTAACTTTTAACATTCCTATTTTTCTAAGTTTGTAAGGTACGTTTTTATTCAGAAATTTCTAAATAAAAATGTTCAATTTATATAAAAATTTAAACCTAATGAATGCTTTATAAGGCTTATAAAAATTCTTTTAAAGCTTTTAAAATATTGAAAATCCTAAAAACTAAATCTATCGGTAACCGAGTGGATAAAAAAGAACTCGGGTTGCTGGTGGCTGATTCGCGCCAGACTAAAGAACTGACCGCGTGGAGTTTCGCGTTTTCTTCACGTGTTTATTAACACTTAAATAGGCGTCTATTCCCATTGAAACTACTCCTGAAAGGCAACTCCCGGGAGCATTACCTCTTGGCAGATCGCCCACATGATTTTTTAGGTCGTCAAAAATTCACGACTTGAACATTTCAAATACTTGTATATTTCAATTGAATTCTATTAATTGTGAGTATATCACATTAATTTAATTTTAAATACATTAAACTCTCGCTAAGTTAAATTAATATTGGTTAAAGGTCATCCGAGTTTACGAAAGTCACAGTTAACGAAACGACGTGGAAAACAGCGAGGAGATAGATATATCAATACAATATATCAATTTATACGATGGATTTTTTTACAGAAGTTTTACTGAGCTTTAATAAGTTATACTACTAAATTTATTTTTACGGGGAGCTAAGCTCAAAAATTTTTATGATCGTACTGTATACAGCAATATACAGTGTTAGTGAAATAATATAGCCTAAAGTATCGCAAACACCTCTAGATATCAAAACAGCTGTTAATTATAATATTTCTATTGCCAAGAAATCTTAAATTATTTGTACAGTACAATATTTTGAAAAAAAATTGTTCCAGTTAGCGGGTGTTTACTGTACTCGTAATTTCAACTGTATTCTCTTAATTGAGAGAGATTATCTCATTAATTTAATTTTCGATCACAGATTCTAAGATGTAATATGTGTTTTCGCGTTATTCTTAACCATAAAAAAAAATATATATATATATATAAGCTATATTTCGTTATTTATTCTCATTATGTTAAATTACACTTCATTTGCAGGATGAATTTAATAAAAATTAATGTTCCTATAAATTAACCTAACGTTAAAAAAAGATTCTTGTCTTTTAACATCGTTTTAAATAATCGTTAAATTTAATCAGTCTTGGAACATTAATTTGATTACATTAATAGCAATTATATCATGAAAATTAAATAATAAAAAATGAATGTCATTCAAAAATTTATTTTTATATTAAAGATTGCAAACATTGATTTTTAAAAAATTTATTCAGTCGATAATATGTAAAAAATATTAAAAGTAAATAAATTAATAATATATTCAACATAAGAATGTTTTAATCTTATACAGATTTAATTTTTTTTAATTTAAAAAGGAGAATATTAATCTTTTAAATAAAATTTTTCATTAAAATCAAATTTAAAAAAATTAATAATTAAATACCAAAGTAGATTTTTAAATACTGTATAAGTTAAGTATAATATCGCGTACATAATAAATTAAATTAACTTTAAAATTAACAAATTACTTAAATTCTAATCAAAAATTTTTAAATAGTTAATACAAAAATAATAAATTTTAATATTGAATATTTTTTTTGTAAAGAAAATACCTAAGTTAATTTTTATTTTATTTAAATGAAAGGATTTAATTTATTAAAACTGAAATACTTGAAAAATTTCAAATTGAGTGTTAAATACTTCTTTTAAATGAATATAATTTGAAGAAAGGGAAGAAGAAGAATAGAATTTTCTTCGCTTATTTTTTACTGCTAAAGAATTTTTTAATTTAATAATAATACGCTTCTTAAAATCAATTTAAATTTATTCATAAAAAATGACTTGAAATATTAAAAATAAAATAAAATAATGTATTATTACGCTATTATATATAAGTTATATATTTGGAATTTTAAAGTTTTTGGGAAGTTTTTATACACATCTTCCCTAAAAAAGATAATTGTTTTATATTTCAATAGTTATTTGTTAATTAATCAGTCATTTCTTAAATGTTATATTGCATTAATTTTCATCATTTTTGGAGTAAAATAAAAGGTTTGTACAAATAGAATGGACTATATATTCTCTTTGTATGTGTGATGAATGCATTTATTATGAAAGTGGCATTTATGATGTTTTTGCTTTCAGTAATATTGTTCGATCCTATTTAGGACAAAAACATTTTTTTAAATCTGATTAATGGCCGATATAAAATTCTTTAGTTTGAGTGTTATTTATTTTTCATACAATTTTGAATTATTCTGTGCTTCATTACATCTGTAATAAGTAAATTTCTATACTTAATGAACAGTTGATAATATCTAAAACATAATAAATGTTTCTAATTTCCATTAATTCAGTATACGAAATACATATACATATAAATTTTTATTTTTATTTTAGAAAATTATAAAAATTTATTTACTGAAATAAAAATTTTAGTTTAAGACTTACAATTATAGCGAGATAATTTATCAATTTTTATTAAAATATATTTAGTAGTTACATTAATACACTTTTTGTGTTTCTACCTCTTTTTAATATCTGATTTAGGTTATCCCTAGTACTTCCTTCTTGCTTTGATCTATCTTTTTCCTTCTTTCTTCTCTTCCCTTTTATCCTGTGTAGACTTTTGTCTTTCTTCAGTATCAATCACAACAAAAAATTTAGTTATATTTTTATAAAATAAATTTATAAATGGTTTTCTTTTCTTTGTAATGTCATATCAATTTCAGATAGTTATTTTCATTGTTATGAAGATTACGAACATACAGAGTAAATATCGTTATTTTTTATTTTTCTTTGTTTAAAGAAATTTTACCGAAACCTATTCAATACTTACACAATTTTTTAATAGAAAACAGACTCATATTATCAATAGTTGTGCTTGTCTATTATTAAATACCTTCATTTCCAAAAGTTGCCTAAAGCGATTAAAGTAACTTTAATTATTCCAACTGTCTACTCGTATAACAATATGGAGTTAGTTTACTTTCAAAAAGTGACTTTAATAATATCAAAATTGCAATAAGGCATCGAATGATGACAATTTATCAATCTAATCATTAAAGTTTCTCCACTTCTAATCCCTTTTGAAATTGCACAATAGCTTATAACGCGACGTATCTAATGGAACATCCACCAACAGCTGGATAGGAGCGCGTCGGAAAGTAAATCAAAAGGAGATAGAAAAAACGAATCAATGGAATTTCTCGTAAATTAAGTGCTATCGATTTTGATATAAATGTGTTAATGCTACATATACATATCGAGTATTAAAATATCTGTTTTATTAGAAACAATATAAGCCTGCAGCAATGTAACTTTTAACATTCCTATTTTTCTAAGTTTGTAAGGCAACTAAATCTTAAAGACTAATTTATCATTATAAAAATAAATAAAAGATTTTTTTTTATAATAATCAAATAAAATAGTGTTTTAATTTTATTTAATATAAACTATTTTTAATGTAGGAAATAATTTTTAATTTTTAGCGTGGATATTCAAATATTTTTATAATATAAATAGTAATATAATAATGTAATAAATAAATATTTATATATAAAATATATAAATAATATAAATATATATTTAAATATGTTCCTGTGATTGTGAAAAGGACGACAAAGAAGACTACAATACATTTATTCTTATAAGTCTTTAATATTTTGTATTTTTACAATTTGTTTTACAAAAATATATTTAATTCTGGATGTTTTAGAATTTGTTTCTTTATAATTTGATAAAATGTCTTTATT